GCATGGCGGTGCCTTAGAAGATTTTAAATACCATGAGAGCTAAAGCCAAAATCTACCTAGATACCTAATTGTTTTTCCAAGAAACCTAATATTTCATATGACTCTTATCTACATACGCACAATAGAATCACATTAGTTTGCTGATAACGGCAATACAATGCACGGCGGTGCCTTTGAAGATTTTAAATACCATATCCACCAGGTGCTATAGCCAACTATCGAAATGTTTTAGGATAAACCTATACGAGATAATAAGTACCTTACTAAATATCTATGGTGAAAGACTATAATTTATATATACTGGCATCGCGTCGTGACATACGTTTAAAAATCCAACATCAACCTCCTATGTTTTTGAAGCTGGTTAATTAGTATACTAAACCCATCCCCTAAATGTAACAAAAGTTTTTCTGAAAACCGCATCAAAATCGGTTCAACCAATCGCGAGATAATCGCGTACAAACAAACACACAGGTCAAACTGAGAACCTAATTTTTTTTAAGTCGGTTAAAAATACAACAATGTTCTAAATATAAACCTACTTACCAACTATAGAATTATTACGTTCATCCTTAGTTTATATTTAGATAAATTTTTCAATTTCACTACATAAAATAAATAATCTTATGGATTATAAATTCCATTACAGTGTGTCATGACCCTAACTTTTATCTACAGATACATAATATTCTATCGTATTTTCGTAAGTATATAACAAACGCACAGACGCGTCACGGGCACTCGCCGAGAGTCGAACGGACGCATATATGAGTTTCGGGCACACGGTGAGAGCCGTAAGAACGCGGGAACCACTGGGCAGTGAATGCGTTAATGGGTGTTTTTTTCATTCTCTACACCCTATTGCTCTGATCATTATCATTAACATATTTCCGTTTGGACATAAGCCTCTCCAATGGCACACCACTGAGCTCGATCTTCATCTCTACGCATCCAACCACTACCAGCCACTTCACGTATATCGTCACTCCACCTAGCGGGTGGGTGCCCTACACTACATTCACCACGTCTACCCCAGCGGTCATCGGTTCTTCGACAAATGTGACCGGCCCACTGCCACTTCAGCTTGCTAATCCTTTGGGCTACATCGGTAACTTTAGTTCTCTGTCGGATCACCTATTATTGCTCTGATACGGTATCGAATTTGCTATACTGCTAAAACAACCGATCTTGTGCTCCCTCCGTAGTAGGTACAGTCATCAATAACTGTTAATAATATTATACCGTTAATAGGTACTTAGATTATCACTTGAACGATATTTTTTAATACCATTACCACAACTTTATAAATACTTGATTATTATAAATACAGTTATTCATGCTACCTACCTATACATTTAGGTGGAACAAATTCTTACGGCCTCGTTGGCCGAGTGGTCGCAAGTGCGACTGCTGGGCAAGGGGTCTCCGGTTCGATTTCCGGGTGGAGCAAAGTGTTACAGGGTTTTTAGTTTATTTCTCAGTAGTAGTACGGAGTCAGCATGTTGTTTATTATACTAATAGGTATACAATTATTGGTGGGTCAATAAACATAAAAGAAAAGACCTACCTATCCACTAAATGTGCCGATCCAGAGTCGCGGAGAACCTAACGGGTTACCGGGGCTCCGGTTCGAAGCGCAGGAGAAGGAACAGGGTGGTTTTTAGTCAGTAAGAGTCTGACACTCCCTTCCGCCTCACCCAGGCAGGAGCAGCCATTCGAACACTTTTCGCACTTAAAAAAATCACTAAATATAAACAGATTGACAGATTGAGGTAGATATGTAAATTAATTAATTAGTACACCTGCCTCGTTAAAATGAAAAGTCAATAGATCCAGGTAAGTACTTGACCTTATGAATGATGAATAATTGACACATGCAAGTCTGAAGTATCTATTGAAATAAAGTACCGTTGTAGCATTTGGTGACCTCGCGTCGTCGTAAGGTCCGACTGACGAATTACACATTTGATAATCATAACATAACATCACGCCTTTTATCCCCGAATGAGTTGGCAGAGGTGCACATTACGGCACTTAATGCCATTGTACAATGTAACACCCAATTTTCACCTCTGCTGCCTCCTCACAATCCAGCCGTCGTCGCGAAGTACACTCCGGGCGTCGGGGATCGCGTCGATTTGGGGTTCATGGGCAGCGCCGATTGCCCACTATTAAGTAAAGCGTTTGTTCGTTTGCCGCCTTATCCCACAAAAAAGTAGTAACACAACGCCTACAGATTAGTAAACAATGTAATTATTATAATCTGTGGTCATTAAAACCGTTAAGAATGCTTTTAATAACACAATGATTCGAGAAATTAATTCACCAATTGGCCTTCAAATTATTTCACAACATGACCTCACGCGTGTTAATTCGTGAAGTGATAAGCAGATTATGTTTGTTTAATTAAATTATTTGCCACTTATTTCATTTTAATAGAAGGCAAGGGGGCAATTCATTATCAACGTCAAAAGTCCATTGTTTGACATATGTTCTAGGGAGGCCCTCTACCTGAGAGGGTTTGCCATACTCTCCGCAGTACAATTTTAATTTATCAGAAAGTGCATGACTTGACTAGTTACTATACCTTACTTAACTGAACAGGTAGGTAAGTGGTAGTCAAACCTAGAAGTTGTTTATGGTATAAGCCGGTAAACGAGCAGACGGATCACCTGATGGTAAGCAATTAGGTAGGTACTTGCCAACTAATTAAATTCAATACTTTTTTCGAACTGTCAAAAATAACAGTTTTCTATGAATTTTATACGAGTTTGTGTATTGTGACGTCTCGTTTTTGTAGCGTCAAATAGATTACTTATTTCTTAAAAAAATTGCTGGCAAATTCTAAAATTAAGTTGATCATAAAATCAATTAATAAAAGTGTGTTTGTTTTTTAATATTTTGTTGTATTCACAGTCGAAATAATTTATTTTTGATTAGGGAAAGTACCCAATCGGCGCCGCCCATGAATATCCGAAATACCAGGCGGCGTTACAAGTGCGTTACCGGTCTTTTGCGGAGTAGAAATTTTGAGGATTGTTTAGGATTCTGGGATTGTGGAGATTGGGAAGGGGGGTAATTGGGCCTCCGGTAACCTCACGCACACATAGAGCAACACGGAGGGGAGTAGCCATTGCGTTATAAACCGATACAAAACTGTCTGTCATTTTTTGCGGGGGGAAATCACACATTCTCAAATTCTCACACAAAAACATTCTATGTCACTACGAAACTCACACTATGACAATTGAAAAATACACTGACAATTTCACACACACATTTAAACAATCCCTGTCGTAATAGTGTAATAATATGACGCAACTACACTTACACCCGCAGTTGTACCAATTATCGATACGCATTATCGATAAATTCAAGAACTCCGTTAAGGAAATTAGCTTTAAAAATTTATTCAAAGACAGATATTATTATTGACTTTAATTATTATACCATTTTTTTACCTAATTAATTATTATACCCCTAACTACCTACTACTACAATAATCAAACAAGATAATAATAACAAATAAAATTTTCATTTTTTTAAATAAATTAAATTACTAATCCCATTTAAAAACCAGCGATGAAATACTGATACGGAACTATCACTGGTTTTTAAAATAGATTAATTTTCTTTAGATATGACGAATACATTTTTGGGGGTTTTGTTTTTTTCAATAAATTAGAAATTATTGTATCAGTTTATTTTTGCATTATTAATCTTGCTAATACATCTTGATTTGAGCAAATGGCAATATTTCTTGTAGGAATCCAGGTTGGTCTGTTATGACAAAATGTCTTACATATATCTCTTAAATTTGGATCTTTAGGAAATCTGCAATAAATAAATAAAATAATAATAATAATAAATATAGTTGAAGTTCTCACTCAGTATTTTTTATTTAAATCAGAAAACTTAATCCCAAAAAATCTCACATTTGACTTCAGCTTTTACATTTTTATCGATAACTATCTACAAACAAACCGGCAACAACGCTATCGCTCGGCGACAGCGAATTCTAGGAAAAAAACTCGGATTTGTCGCTCGACCGATCCGCGTTTTGTATGAGTACGCACGGATTTGTTGGTAAACAAATCCGAAACAAGACGATTGATAATATTGTAGTTTTTTTAAGTTTATAAGAAGTAAATAGCAATAATGTGGTTAAAAATTACTTAATATGAAAGGTAACACCATGTTTTTGTAAATTTGACGTGGCAGATCTCTTTTTGGAGCAAAAAACAGAACAATTCGGCATTTTTACGACGCCGTCGATTCACTAACGCAACTAGATTTAGTCTGGTGAGCAGTTGAGTTGCAACTAGTTTTATTGTACGCATAGGACCATTTGGACTTATACTTTGACAGAGGGGAACGCCTGCGTATGGCTACTCCCCTCCGGTCCGCCGGTGGCCCGTGTTGCTCTATGCACGCACACGATGAAACACAAGTCGTTTCACGTCGGTTTTCTGTGAAACCGTGGTATCAATCCGGACGAGCCGGCCCATTCAACAAAGCATAGCTCCCACACTTATGTATTTATTATATTTAGAGGGTCCCTGACATAAAAACAGCAATATTGCACAATGAAAATATTTTTGACTTAAAACATACCTGTATTGACAATTATAGGTAACCACAGCATGCATATAGCTGTTTAGCTTACATTAATACAAAAAAGATAATTAAAGGGAAAAGTTGAGTATAAGATAAAACTTAAAATCAAAAACATTTTATCCAAAAATAATAAATCTTAGTAATTAAAAAAATAAATAAATACTACGTCACTCTCTCTGATTATTCTCAACAACTTATGGAGGCGCTGAAGGTGACTGTCAATCTCTGGCTATGTATTTGTCAGGTAATCTACAGGCAGGCCAAACGAACAATCGGTGAATTCCGACCCATTCTTGTTCTACAAAATTTGGTTTTGAACAGTTAACACTGACTCTTACTCTTGTGGTTCATCAAAGTTTGCAAGATACAATAAAACACAAAAATCTTAACAATATTCATTTATAATGACTGCAAGATACACTATGCATTACACAATACCTGAAAAAATAATAAATTACATAATAATTACTGTTCTACACCATTTTCCCTTACAATAAAGCTCAAATTGCATTGCACACCTTTCCTTCCGAAAAACCCGTTTTGCTTCTAGACATTTCATAATACTATGCCCAATTGTTATGCAAAAAGTACTCTTATATAAATGCCGTAAGGTTGTAATTTGTATGGAAGACATTAGTTGGCCTTTTCAAAGTATTCCTTGCTGGCTTTGGGACTAGGCTTGATCGTGGCTGAATTTGTGTCGGGGTTCCAATTGGCTGGGCACACTGGAAAGAAAACAAGAAATTATTAGACAAAAATAAAAAGACCTGACAAAAATAAAATAGTTACTTTGAGAATCTCTAAACAAACTGATAGAAGTAATGGTTTTTTTAAGGGGGGTAAATCATCGAATGACTTCTCCCGCCTGGGTGAGGCGGGAGGGAGTGTCAGAATCTTACTGACTAATAACCACCCCGTTCCTTCTCCTGCACTTCGAGCCGGAGCTCCGGTTACCCGTTAGGTTGTCCGCGACACAAGTAATGGCTAGGTGTATGACGACGTAATGTGTCTACAGTTGAACTATGCGCTCTTTATGCATAATGTTATGCCAATATATACATATATATGTTTTTTTTTAAGGGGGGAAAATCATCGAATGACTGCTCCCGCCTGGGTGAGGCGGAAGGGAGTGTCAGACTCTTACTGACTAAAAACCACCCCGTTCCTTCTCCTGCACGTCGAGCCGGAGCCCCAGTTACCCGTTAGGTTCTCCGCGACACATACATATATATGTTTGGAAGATTCTTTAAGGGGGGAGTATCATCGAATGATTCCTCCCGCCTGGGTGAGGCGAGAGGGAGTGTCAGAATCTTACTGACTAATAACCACCCCGTTCCTACTCGTGCACTTCGAGCCGGAGCCCCGGTAACCGTTTACGGTCTCCGCAGCTCCGTATCAACATCAACCCTATTGGGCCCCATCCGTGGTGGTCTGATGGCTCTTTGAGGCGCACATGGAACGCGACGCGCTGTACGCTCACGTCTGGTTCTGGTCAAGCGGCGAGTCTTGTTTGGCAAGTAGGTTAGAGATCATAGTTCAGAAAAGATTTTACATTGCGTCATGTTACTGAGCGAATAGATATCGCTGAAGCTGATGATACCACGGCCTCAGCCATGGGTAATTGAGTGCCCAAGTATTTGGTAATGGACTTCTCATATCTCCTCTGGCTTTATAGCAACATAGAAGCACCCCCCAATAGTTTAACATGGCTTACATCATTATAAAAACAATCCTTACTAAAATTATAAATCGGAAAGTGAGTTTGTTTGTTTGTTCCACTTTCACACCGTAACTACTAAACCGATTGCTTTGAATTTTTGCAGACGTAAAGTTAGAAGTCCGGATTAAATAATAGAGTACTTTTTAACCCGTAAAAATTTGATATTCTCGAGGAACAACAAAAGTATTGGTATAGGTGGCGCTGTGTTTATTGGTATATGTCACATAGGCTTTTTATCCTTTTGTGACGCGAGCGAAGTCGCAGGTAAAAGCTAGTAACACATAACAAAACTTAAACATACCTTCTCCATGTTTATCAGCGAACTGGAATGCCTTCACAAGCCTGAGGGTTTCATCCACTGACCTACCGACTGGTAGGTCGTTGACTGACATGTGTCTTAGGATTCCATTCCTGTCAATCACGAATAGACCTGGAAAGTAAGAGAGCAATCATCAATTTAATTATGACTTTTTTTTAGTTGGATGGTATCTATTGTTGAACAAAGGTCGCAAGTGACTTAATGTTATATGATTTATCATCATCAATCAACAGCCTATAAGTGGCCACTGCTGACCATAGCCGTTTGCTGCCACGGAGAAGGTTTAAGCAATAATCACCGCACTTGCTCAATGCGGGTTGACAATTTCAAACTTATAATTAGAAATTACAAGCCCAGGTTTCCTCACAATGTTTTCCTTCGCCGTTTGTCAGTGATGTCTAATTAACTTTTTTTTTTATATATTTGATTGTGGCGACGCCGACGTTTGACCACTATCTCGCCTGGTGGTAATCGATGATGCAGTCTTAGTCTTATAATCTCACGTATAACTCGTTAACGTTAAAGTCACATTGGTACTTCCCGTTTGGTAGGTTTCGAACCCACAATCTTATGGATGAGAAGCAGGCGGACGTGTTAAACCTCCGGGTCACCACGACATTAATATTACGATATTACATGAATTATCTTATAACTGAAATCGAATTTCATTGACCTCATTGTAGAAAACTACCCGATTTCGAACAAATCAAAGGCCACAATCATAGTCCACAAACACTAGTGTTGGTAAGTTATACTCCTTGGTCTACAGTAGACCAAATTTATATTGTGGATATAGTCTATGGTACTATAATCTTTTCTAAATAACTTATTTTTATTGAAATAGTATAAATTACCTCTAAGAGCGAACCCAGCATCTAAAAGGACATTGTAGTCTTCTGAGATCTTCTTGGAGTAGTCAGCAAGAAGAGGGATTTCTATCTTGCCAAGACCACCATCCTGAAAAGTATAACAATACAAATTATAGTTAAATAGAATATTTTCACACCACTTGGCGTGCTACAATAGCTTGAGGTCTAGTGTTCAATACTTTATTCGGATTTTCTATTGTAGACTCGGGAACAAAAAATCTGTTTCTATGGTTGCAACGCAAGTATTGTCATTAAGGTTTTTTTCATGTTTTTGAACGTTTTGTAACTTAAACAAAATTATTCCTTTTACAACATAATGCTTTTATTTTAAAGGTAACCAAATTGCCTTTTATACAACACTAGCGACCCGCCCCGGCTTCGCACGGGTGCAATATGCATGTATTATACATATCAACGTTCTATTAAAAAAAACCATATCAAAATCCGTTGCATAGTTTTAAAGATCTAAGCATACATAGGGACGAACAGACAGTTACCAATTAATAAAATGATTGCATGAGAAAATATTGATCAAGAAATGAAAAGGAAAAATCGCAAGTGTTAATTTATTTGTTACCAAATGTTTAAGTTATTGGTTAGTAAATAAGTACATACATATAAACTAATAGACAATAGTCAAACAGTTGGACTAGTACAATCCTATGCTTATACCGTAAGCCCCACCTTATGACCAAAATAAATTAAAATATTTGTTAGAAGTCTAATTGAAATAAAAATATTATTATCAACTTTTAAATTAATAATGTCAGCTTTATCAACTTTTGTTATGACCTTTATTATCTGTTGCCCAATGGAAGTAATTTTTAACAATCAATGTATGTAAGGAAATAAATATTAACTATAAGTAGGCATTATTCCAGACCCTGTGCTATTACTGAGAATTTCTGATAACCAAAATAATTCAGAAAAAAATTTACTTGACCCATGAATGTAACCCAAGACCCATAAAAATCAATGAAATAATAGTTAAACTTGACAACTTAGACATACCTTTCTAGGAGTGTTAGTCCATGCAAGGTGGCTGAACTCGGAGTCAGTGGAAACTCCAATAATTTGGCAATCAATGCTGGCAAAATCCTTTGCTCTATCACTGAATGCGATCAGTTCAGTTGGGCAGACAAAGGTACTGAAAAATAATAATAAATTTATATAAGAATTTTTATTTGTATAACAAATACTTTTTACAATCCAGTGTATTCCTTACATACCGACATAGTTTTTTAACCCATATCATACAGATTTGTGATACACAAGCATGAATTCATTACAAGCTTAGTCAATTATGGACATTTAAGTAACTAGCAATATTTTCCTTATAGGTTGGAATATATTAAAAATACTTACAAATCCAATGGGTAGAAAATTAGAACAACATATTTTCCATGGTAATCAGACAGTTTCAGCTTGTTGAATTCACCATTCACTACTGCAGTTGCTTCAAAAGCAGGTGCGGGCTGTTGGACCTTCGGGACAAATACTGCACTAGCTGAAATATTATAAAATGTAAATATCTAAGAAAATAAAAACAGAAATGGAAATTTGGTACAGATTAACAAAAATAAAAAAAACATTTATGTATAAAAAGGTCGTAACATGGCATAACGAAAGAAAACTTTACTACAAAATCGCTCTAAAAAAATAGCTCTCACTTCAACGTTTTGAGGTTATGTAATGAGACAGACAAAATAATAAATTAAATAACAATAATACTTACTGGTGGAAAAATTTACTTTTTTCACCGATGCCAAGGTTGGAGTTACAAAGCAATGTTAAATAAATAGGTCATATTTTATGAATGTACTGAAACTGGTTCTACAAAATCTAAAATAGAAACTTACTCTGCGAGCTAGCTGTTTTACCAAGAAAGACATTTTGTTTGTAATTTTAATTAATCACAAAGCAAGAACAATAAACAGATAGATGGATTTCTAGCTTTTTCCTAACCGGCCTATTAGATTCCGTTTGATTGACCCGTGATTTGACAACAAATCTATCACAGTGATGTTCGTGGTTCGATACCTACAGACAAAATATTATCGATACGATACGTATATCAAAAATGTATTAAAAATAATAAAATTATCAATACTGATTTAATAATTATTATTTCATTTGAGGCTAGATGCCGCAACAGTTTTTTTACATGTAAAAGGAGAAATTTAGAAGAGAAAGGGATTTATTGGGCAAAAAATCCCAGAGTCGCTTAAAATCATTAATTCGCCATTTAATAGACCACAAGTTAAGAGGTCTCATATGCGACTAGTTTTGGCAAAAACCGTAACCAAACGAGCCAGCAGTCTGTGTCACACGCCTTGGTATACAAAATTGTTTAACAAATTTGTGAATAGTCTTTTTTTGTTTCTATGTTCGTTACTAATAAAAGGTATAGGCAAAGGAAAGGAATTACATTTACGAGAATTACAAGCAAACCTCTCAAAGATATAATTTTCCAAGATTAAACGTTATGTCATCATAATATGTTGTGAATTTGTTCAAAAAAATGAGTATAAGCTATTAGATTTAACATATTAAATCTACGGAAAAACCAAACAAAGCGACTCCATGATAAACTGGTCTTATTTTTATATTACTTGGTGATGGTTTCATAGAAAACAATTTTTAAATTTAAGATATACTACGCACCTATACTCTACCTTGCTACATATAAATTATTTTAATCGATTCTAGGTTTTACTTCATACATTTTTGACTGCCTCGTTGGCCGAGTAGTCGCAAGTGCGACAACCAGGCAAGGGGTCTCGGGTTCGATTCCCTGGTCGTGAAAAGTACTACTGGGTTTAAAAAAAAATCTCAGCGGTAACACGGGGTTTAGAATTGTGCCCAGTATATAGCAATAGGTTCACCCACTATTAAATGGGACTTATAAGATAAATAGTGTAAAGTGGGTATTATATTGTACAGTGGCATTAAGTGCCATAATGTGCTCCTCTGCCTACCCCTTTTTTCGATAAAAGGCATGATGTTATGTACGTATTTTTGGGGATTATCCTTTAATAAAATTACTATCCAACTTTGTGTCTGTACAAAATTATAATGGAAAACATTAAAGGAATGTAAGTTTTATTATCATTTTTTACAAAATAAAAGACAACAGAAAAACTTTAAAAGTAGCGTGATCCATTAGGTTCGTACACTTTTGCGCATAATCCTTCATAAGAATTGTTGATTATCGATATATAGTTTTTATCGTAACGTGGACAGCTCTACAATAATTAGACAGAGCTGTGACCTCTTTTTGTCAGTTCGGAAAGTACATTGTTTCAAATTGAAATGGAAATAGCAGATTATTTCAGTATAAGGTAGAATAGCGCAAAAATAGCATTTTAAAATTCCAATATACAACTAAATATATCTTTATTTTTGGAATGTTTGCATATACTTAGTAACAATTATTAAAAATATTCTGATAAATTATTTTTGTACGATTTCTGAACGAACGCAAAGATTTTCACTGAAGGCGTTTTTATTTGATAGATGACACTATGACAGATGACAGCAGAACGACATATTGACAGAAAAATCGTTATCATTTTAATCACTGCATTTTGATAAGAAATATTTTATTCAGACCTAAGAATTAATTGAACATAACAATCTTACCGTTTTAATTAACGTACATCATGTTGTTTATCCAGCATCTTGTCAGAAACAGTCAAACCTCAAATTATTCAGAAATACTAATTTGCGATTTAAACCGGACTGCTCATGCTCATTAAACTAAAGTTAAATTAACATAAAAACTAAGAAATAATAACTATTTAATATATTCCCAGTATGTAACACAGAATTGAAAGACAATTGACACAAACCCATCCAGTGTGTACTAGCCTTACAGTATAAATTATCAAACAACCTTGAAATCGAGTAAACACTTCAAATAAATTATATAATCTAAATTCGGGTACACAATCATGAGTGCCATGAGGATAGGAGCGCGCGCGTTTACTACGCATTTGCTGTCAAAAGGCCAGGCCGGCAACAGTTTACTCAGCCAAAGAAATATATCAACAACAAATATCAACAATATGAAATTCGTCCAGTTCACTTACAACAATGACCCAAAGCAAATCCGAGCCGGATATTTAGATGGGGACCGTGTTGTTGATATTAATAAAATTGATTCCAATGCCCCTCAGACTTTGTTGGGTTTGTTGAATTCTGAACATATTGGCAAAATTTTTGGGTAAGTAAACTTTATTCCCATTATTTATTAAGTATATCTAATGTTTACGTGTGGTTTAATAAATAAATTCCCAACTAATAACACAAATATAATCACATTTAATTTCAGTCATTTTTTTTAATTTCTGCTAAAGAAATATTAACTATTACATTTTGCAGCCAGTAGCATAATTTTTGTTTAAAAAACATGAATAATAATTACTTATATAAATTCATCTTCAGATATGTGAACAAACCAGTTTTATGTCTGATTGGTACCTACCAAAAAATTTATTTAACACATGCATTAGACCAATCACATAGTCCAATTTAGTAATCTAATCTCTATCACAAAGCATTAAGGTTGATTATAACATCAATTGCAGCAATGAGACCTTTATTGTATTAGTATCTGCTAGTTAGGAAGTTCCCTGATAATGTTATTGAAAGTAAGATATTTTGTATAAACCAATTAAAAGTATCCCTTCTTCATTTCTTCAATAGTGAAGCTCATTTTTGCATAGCAACTGCATCATACTAACATGTTGAAATATCATCCCGTAAATTTGTTGATAGAAAGTAGTCTCTAAAAATTGGGAATAAGGTCTATAATGCAGGTAGTGGAGAGTGGTCACCGTTGACCTCTTGGGGATACATATCCACCGGTCACTGCGTAGCCCATATGGGCTGATATCCCCCAAGCGGTCAACGGTGTACAATTATAAATGGGGATACCTATAGTATAGCTTTAATATTATATTAAAGTTTGCGCGTTCATGTGTATGTTTGTTACTCAATCACATCAAAATGGCTGAAGGGATCGGGATGAAATTTGGAACGGGATATATTATGGTCAGGAATAACACATAGGGTACTTTTTAACCCACGGGAACATGGGCGTAACTGTTTGCAGAACCTAGTTTCCAATATATTTAACTCTTCCAATGGCTCTGTTAATAAGAGCATTTTGTTGTAAAAGGAATATTTTTTTCTTTAAGTTACGGAGGGTTCAATAAAATGGAAAATTAACTAAAAATCGCAAGTTACTCACGTGAATATACAGAGAAAAGCTCTACTAGTTTCGAACCACAGAGGGGTTCTTCCTCATGTTTTTATGCGATACATGCGATTTTAGTTTATTTAGTATGTCTCACGATAGTTACCTATTATAAAAAATGGAAAATAATGCTATGGCTCTATTTTTTGGTACCGAGTGTATTATAACAACTATACCTATCCATCAAAAGTTTCTCCATAACTATGCAAAACTAGCAAACCCGGCGAACTCCGTTCCGCCACCAAATGGCTTCGTTTTATGTAACATTCTTTGCTATAAACCTCACGGAGCCTGAGACCTTTCCAACGAAAGCAAAGCCGTGGAAATCGGTTCATGCGTTTTGGAATTATAGCGTCAGGAAGGAAAACCCGACTTATTTTTATATAGTAGAAGATATGTCTGTCACTGTCATTGTTACAAGCGCAGAACACAATCAACTCTACCTTAATCCTTAAATGGACATATTAGTTGATTGTAAGTGGTCTCTCAACAACATACCTAACTACGTTGGAGCACTTATTGATGAATTGTACTTAACCTGGTAGGTACATAAGGACCATTATGCAATGCATAATCCCTTGTAATGCAACCATTAACAAGGATTAACCATTACATTATCTACATACAATATCTAATTGAGTACTTTCCTTATTCAAAAATAAATTATTTCGACTGTTCAATACAATAAAATATAAAAAATAATCACTTCCATTAAATGATTTTATGACTAAATATTTTTAGTATCTTACCAGTGATTTAAAGAAAAAATAAGTACCTATGCTGTTTGGCCCTAAAAAAAGTGACGTCATAATACACAATCTCATACAAAATTCATAGAAAACTGTCGTTTTTGACAGTTCGATAAAAGTATTGAATTTCACTAGTTGGCAAGTACCCAATTATAAGTCGTCATGATGTTGAAGCATTATATTACATGCATATCCAATCTAATCAACCGTATATGCCAGGATTAATACAGAAAGTACCTACATCAATAGTGTAGGGGGTGTCATCAGCACTCATCACGTATCATTTTTATTTTGATACCATTTATGACGTCAAACTTTCTTTAATCTTGTTATGATCTGGAAAAAAAATCGAGTTTATCTATATCAAAACAGTTGAGTCAATGAAAAACAAACATTGGTCTCTTTGAAATAGAGCATTCTTTTGTTAACAAGAAATCATGCCAACTTCTTAAGATAGTTATCTCAATGAGTTTTGTAAACATTCATACTGAAATTGTCAGTAGGTATTGTCTTATTAACTACATTATTTTGTATTGTAAAGTGACTTGCATCTTCAGCAAAACAGCAACATCTTTGATAAGACAAACTTACCTACCTTCATAATAATGATAACGCCGACCATTTAAACAAAATACGTATTGTTTTACCTATAAAACTAGGACTACAAAACACACACACACACCCTCACACACACACACACACACACACACACACACACACACACACACACACACACACACACACACACACACACACACACACACACACACACACCCTCACACACACACACACACACACACACACACCCTCACACACACACCCTCACACACACACCCTCACACACACTTAGAGAGAGAGACACACTTATAACGTAGAAGTTACCTCTTTTCATTTACGGGTTACCAATTTGAATCCAAAATCTGTGGACCGATCACGGTTTTTGACATATACTACTTACAACTACTTAACTACTAATATATAATATCAAAAATCAAATAAAAAAAAAACAAAATAAAATTGATATAGGCCGTAAAAAATTCAATAACACGATAATAACATTGTCTATTCTATCATTTTTAGCTACCCTTCTTCAAAGCCACAGAGTGTACCACTCTCAGATGTCACACTAAAGGCTCCAATCCACGGCATGGACAAGATCCTGTGCGTAGCCCTAAACTATGCTGATCACTGCAAAGAACAGAACTTACAAGAACCTAAGATTCCGATTATCTTCAGCAAGTTCTCCAGCACAATCATTGGGCCAAATGAAGCTGTGAAGATTAGGACTCATATTTCAAAGGTACTGCCAGCACAGCCGTATTCCCTATTCCTATATCCCTAAGGCAAAATAGGCAAGTGCCTACTCCTAGAGCACTAGGTTACCGACGCACGGACGCTGCGAGACATGTGTGCCCAAAGGCCCATAGATTGGTGGTGTTGACAAAAAATCTAGGAACGCCTGTGAGGTGCTTGCTTAAAGCGCTTTTTAGGTTTAATCCGTCCGTTAAATACCAGAATACGTCTCATAAATTAGTCGTTATCATCTTCATCAGGTTATATAGACGGCCACAGCTTAACTTGGGCTTCCTCTGTAAGAGAGGATTTGATATAAATCCACTGGTTTGCTTGGACTGCCTCGTTGGCCGAGTGGTCGCAAGTGCGACTGCTGGGCAAGGGGTCTAGGGTTCGATTCCCGGGTCGGGCAAAGTATTACAGGGTTTTTAAAAAAAATCTCTGTCGTAGCACGGAGTTGGGAAATGTGCCCGGTATATGACAATAGGCTCACCCCCTATTACATGGGACTCAACATAAATAGTGAAAAGTGGGTGTTACTTCTGTGTGCACCTCTGCCTACCCCTTGGGGGATAAAAGGCGTGATGTTATGTTATGTGGTTTACTTGGAAATTGCAGGGAGATCACTAAAAACTAAGAGAATATTGCTGCCCGTCTCTAGTTGAATGATTGGCTTGTTTGTTTTATTTATCAAAGCCCTATAATACTTTTCCCGACCCGAGGATTGCACCTCAGATCTCAACCACTTCGCAGTAGGTACCTAATTTTAGGTAAACAGGTACTTATTCCCCAACATTACATTCTCTACTTTAAAATTCGTGAATCATAAGTTGTTTGTTCCATTCATCGAGCCAAATTATCATATTTGCATTCATTACGAAAATGTCTCCGGGTAGCTATACCTACAAGAAAAAAAAAATAGCAGATTGTAAGTGCCGTACACATTGTTAAAAATGTTTGCGATGTAAATGAAATATTTGCAATCTACTTAGTTTTTAACAGAGTTCTTTTATTTTCTTAAAGTTCAAGGCAACAAGCTAATTTTTCCTTGATGAAGCATTTAATTTCTAACAAAAACAGTAAGGAAGTCATTACTGGGAAATGACGACCGTAAGAAAAGCGTAGTACTTACATAGTTGTGACGGGTGAGCATACCTGTAAGTATTGGCTATGTGTGCGACGGTGGCGACGCGTAGCGTTTACAACATTTGCGGAAGCTGTCAAATAATAACAATGTTAACATTATAATTTTCTTTGCAAATATAAATAAAACCAAAGATTAAAATAGTATTTTTGACATTATTTAAGTGCAATTTATTCAATAGTTTTACTGTAAAATGAATATAATAATAAAAACCGGGTTTGCATCATCCGCGTTTGTTTCCAATTTCTGCCGTGTTGTGCGCTGCGGTCGTTATCTGTCCGCCACTACTCGCTTTGCACATAGCCAATAGTTTTCACACAAAATTTCTGGGCTCGCACACCTAATCCAGGGCGAGTGAGCTATTCGATGATTCCACCCTCAAAAAAAATCCCACTTTTAAGAGCAGGAGCAGGACCAACAACAGATTCACGTACTTTCTGAAGCGTGGGGTTATGGTTAAATCATCGCATTTCCATACTTCGGCCTACAAATATTCGTTAGATTTAAATGGAAAATAATCGAAAGTTAGTTTCGTAAAATGTTGCACTTTCGAATGTGCCGATCATCCACACACAGCCATGCAGTTTGGTATGGCATATTCTAAAAGCACCTGCATTTTCTGGTCTTTTGGCAATTAGCAGTACAATATCTGAAAGAACCGTACAAGGTATCTTACAAGAGCGACTGTTTAACCCCTCGAGCGTCCTTATGAGCACCCGGTGGATCATAAGAAAAAATGCTCCATGCTGCTTTCTCTTTTATAAAATCTATTATTAGTGTTTTGTTTTTATTTTGACTGTATTTGTTTTATGTCTATTGTAATGATCCTTGTTTTCGTGTGCCAATGGCCAAATAAATGCATTTTCTTTCTTTCTTTTTCCAAATGTCACGTGTGCACCCGTTGGATCATAAGGAACGCGGTCGCTCGACGGGTTAAGGCTTGGACTGCCAATAGAAAACTGTTTAACACGTTAACTGCCGCGTAGGTCACCGGTGACCGTTAGTTAATTAGTTAGTTAGTTAGTTTTCTGGCGGCAGTTAAAGCCTTAAGGCAAGTCCTCCGCTAACGTCGGTCACCGGTGACCCCCAAGGCAAATCGGACAGGTCGCAATTGAAATAATGGCAAACCCCTCTTTAGTAGAGGAGGCCCATTGTCCATCAGTGAACACTATGGCCGGCTATTTGATGGTGACCTAAAATAAAGAAAAGAATTCTCATTACAGAAAGTTGACTGGGAAGTGGAGCTGGCTGTGGTCATCGGCAAGACTGCGTCGTCTGTAAAAGCTGCGGATGCATACAAATACATATTCGGGTACACCGTCGCTCAGGACATTAGCGGACGAGACTGGCAGAAAGAGTCCAATGGAGGTCAATTTCTGCTGGGAAAGGTTCGTATTTTTAGTGAACAATATTTAATAATCTAATCTTACTCAGTGTTCCACGAGAACGCGTTTGAATCACGTGCACAGACTCGTGGTGACCCACTTTAAAGACAGGTTTAAGAGGATTCCTTTTACGAACTTAGGGAACAATACAATCAGTTCCCTAAATACTGTAAAGCCTTGGTGTTTCGAGTGTCAAGGGTCGGCGCCGATTGCTTACCATCAGGTGATCCGCTTGCTCGTTTACCGGCTTATGTTATAAAAAATAACAGAATTAAGGAAGTTGCCCATTTCCCTTTATCTACTTTTTGATAGAAATCTTTACACCTCTTATATTGTTTTTTCGGTAGATGATCATACATATTATGACAATGTCCTTTTTCCGATCATAGATGGCGTCACTGTGTTATTAATCGCGACAACCATTCATACATTATGTTCTACGGTTGACACTTAGTAACTAATAATTATAATATTTCAGTCTCAAGACACATTCTGTCCTATCGGGCCCTGTATAGTATCAGCAGATGAGATCGGCGACCCGCACACATTGGATATCAAATGTTCCGTGAACAATGAAGAGAAACAAAACAGCAACACTTGCCAACTGATCCATAAGATACCTGACGTCATTGAAAGGATCAGCTCGTAAGTATTTTCAAAATTAATTATTTGAAGTATAAATTAAAGAGAGTTTATTTTGTTTGTCATGTGTGTATCTCCTAACTTGTGAGTCTGTTTTTTGATGTAATTGTAGTACAAAGATAGATGATTTTTTTTTTGTAAAAATGTACTCTGCTGTTAAACTGCAGCGGCTGACGGAAACTGCTTTACCATATAGCTGTATTCCAACCACTTTTGGACATATACTTCTACAATAGCACGCTTTCAATCATTATTTTTTTGTATCCAAGCCATATCAGCTACTTTTCGGATATTAAACTAATCTTTATTCTCTTGTAACTCATAACATAGATACGCTATTGAAGTCATAATGGGAAAAATGCTATAATTCCCATGACTACATGACTAGGAGATCAAGAATGCATGCCCACGGATGGAGATCACAGTTAGCTCATTGATAGAATACACTTCGCATTGCGATGAAGGACATAGTCCATGGTCCATAGTCCCCGTATTCGTGTCGTCTCGCGGAATTTTATTAAAAGCAAAAATCTCAATTTCCAGCATAATGACGCTGCTGCCCGGAGACATTATCCTCACTGGTACTCCTGGAGGAGTGGGGATGCACCGTAAGCCCCCACAATATCTCAAACCAGGCGACACAGTCACCAGTGAAATTGGAAAAATTGGAACATTAGTTGTGTCAGTTGAGGAACATAATTAAGTTTAAGATTATACCTTATTATGTTGATTTTAGGGTCGAAATTGTGACATTAGTTCTATTGAATTTCTGTCATCACTGATCGGTCCAGAGAATTGGAGATCGGATAATAATCGGCCTTAAAGTTTTTTTTTTCTTTTTGAACACTCTGTACTTATGTTTTTATAATGCTTCTGTTTATTTCGTAATGAGTATGTTTTTTGTAAATGATATATTTTGCTTGTTTTATATATTTAAGTATAATTATTATTGTAACGTTTAATAATTATTATCGTTAATCAGTATACAGTGTTTATTCATAATCTTTGTTAGCACTATTATTTACGTTTTGTAAATAAATCATGTTTTTAATATTGTTTAAATATTTTGGTTTGATTTTGTAGTTAAACATTTGAGTTTATTTAAAATGGTTAAGGATACAACAAAAATGTACCCATAGTTCTAATATTTGGTGATGTTTTTTCATATCGGCTCTATTTTTTTATGGGTTAACCCGGTAAACGAACAGACAGATCACTTGATGGTAAGCAATCGACCTCGACCATGGACACCCGGAACACTAGAGGCGTTACCGGCCTTTTAGGGATTAGCAATTTGAGAAATGTCTGGGATTCAGGGATTGGGCAGATTGGGGAAGGACCCGGGATAGTTGGGCCTCCGGTAACCTCACTCACACAACGTAGGCGTTGTTTCACGTCGGCTTTCTGTGAGCCGTGGTATCACTCCGATCGAGCCGGCCCATTCGTGCCGAAGCATGGCTCTCGCACACTTAAAATAAGCTATGCAATACTTATACATGCAATACCTAGGTCATGAAGCAAATAAGCCATGGGCCAAACGTTCTGTATGTAGAAAATAGAGTTTATAATTATATTGCCCTCACACAACACAAAACTAACTTTGATCAAAACCTATTGCTATCACTGCTCTGGCACTATGTTAAAAAGGAGTACCTACCTTTAAACCTATGCTTTATAAGCCTAATAATTTTCCAGTTTTTGACATTTTTGAATCACGTTGACAACTCTGGACAGATTTATTATGACACGTCTGACAAGTACCTGCTAAATCATAGATATTTATCATATCAGTGTGCTAAATAAATCGGTCTCCTACTTAACTAATGTAAAGAAATAAAAAGCCGAAACGAAATTGTTTAAAGTACAACACATGAGGATATTGCTAACATTTTTCCAATAACGAACAAAAGCAGCAATGAAATTCGTACAATTTTTTCCGAAGGATACTCCTAATACGCTGAGGGTCGGATACCTGCATGGTGATGAAGTAGCGGATATTTGTAGTTATGATAGCAATATGCCAAAAACTATGCTCGATATACTAAAAGCTGATTTAGTTAACAGTATTATATCGTAAGATTTTATTACTATTCTTTTTCGTTGAATTAATTTGTTAACTTATCTTTGTAGGGTCTTTTGTCGACGTTTTGTTGTACGTAGAATGGCTATGTAGTATGTACCTATCTAAGTATTACACAATTTTCCTCTTGAGCAATATTAAGTACTTACGGTAAGCGCCTGTAAAGATTTTGACGAGTCAACCAGAGCAACTGCTAACTTTTCCAAGTTGTGAAAGTTACTGAAAGACGGGTTATTTTTATATTTTTTAGGCAAGAATATTTTAGAATTACGTAGATAATGTATTGTTGCGCGGAGGTTTATGACGCCCGCTTCTCATGCATAGTGCGGGCTCGAAACCTACCAATGGCAAACACGAATGTGACTTTGTCCAAGTCATATGTATTTTCTGAGATTATTTTAGACACCACTGACAAACAGTGAAGGAAAATATCGTGAGCAAACCTGGGCTTAAAATTTCTAGTAAGGTATATCTTAGAAATCGCCAAGTTGCGATGAAGCGTGGTAGGTAATTAATGCTCAAACCTTATTCGTTGTCGCGGAGAACCTAACGGGTAACCGGGGCTCCGGCTCGACGTGCAGGAGAAGGAACGGGGTGGTTTTTAGTCAGTAAGAGTCTTACACTTCCTTCCGCCGCACCCAGGCGGGCAGTCATTCGATGATTTTCCCCCCTTAAAAAAAAAACCTTACTCGTTGCAGAAGAGGCCTTTGGTCAGCAGTGGCTACTTATAGGCTGATATTATCTATTAGCAAATATTTTGTATATTGCCTTACTTAGTTAAATGCTGCGGGAACAGTTACGTCATACTATTATTTACATACAATTTTGTATAGGGCTCCAACTCCAAACCCAAAGACTCTGACGCCCCTCGCAGAAGTTACATTGAAAGCACCAATCCATGACATGGATAAGATCCTGTGCATCGCTCTAAACTATGCCGATCACTGCAAGGAACAGAATATACCAGAACCTAAAGTACCGGTAGTCTTCAACAAGTTTGCCAGTACAATCATCGGGCCCAATGAGGCTGTGAAGATAAGGACTCACGTAACTAAGGTACTCGTAAAAATCTAAGTGCACGTTGTCGTAGTTTCTGAAATATAATATTCCATTAACAGCGCGCAGATAAACTCTAAGCTCAATTCAGCACTAGCCGCTCCCTCCGGTTAACCGCTTTTCCAATTTGGTGTGCAGCCGCTATGGCAACCGCGTCTGTCGATACGAACCGCCTAGGTAGTCAACCGCTAGAGCGTAAGGGAAAGAGCTTAAGAAGTTTTCATTGTGCGGCTAAATCTTTCCCATTTAATCAGCATTAATAAAAACTTAATAAAAGTGCAAATTTTATGGGATAGACCATAGGATTACTTGATAAATAATGAGTAACGCTTCACCGTTAATTGAGATTAGTTCGTTGCCAGCCTTTTGGGGGATTGGGAGTTCCATGATTCACTTTATGGATTGTTTCGAAAGAAAACCGGCGTGAAACAAATCAGACCTACCGACCTATATATACACAAAATCTAAGTTAAATCACGCTTTCTGTTTCGTACCGAAGCATGGCTCTCCCGAATGACTAGGTACCCATAATACATCACCTATTACAGAAAGTAGATTGGGAAGCAGAGCTAGCTGTGATCATAGGCAAGACTGCATCGGCTGTGTCAGCTGCGGATGCATACAATTATGTATTCGGATACACCATAGCTCAGGATATTAGCGGACGAGATTGGCAGAAGGACGAAAATGGAGGGCAGTTCTTACTGGGAAAAGTTCGTATATTTATGTACAGCTTGGTAAAACAGAGTTTATAATGAGTCCCTGAGTACGGTCCTGTTAGGAGTGCGTCTCTGGTACCCCTTTTTGTTCGATACCCCGCAACCCGCTGTGTCCTTTCCCGCGCGAGCGCACCACCAGTCGGCGAACAACAGCCCTTACGCGCGGTCCTCGTATCTTATGTGTATGCGCCCGCGCCCTATTAATTACGTGTTTGTAAGACTTAATGTATAGCGTACCTGTGTACTTACTTACCGAAATGAATAAACGTCAGTGGAATCAAGTGGAGCCTTATTTCACGAACATTATAAGTTTAGAATAATTGAGGTCGCTAGTATCGTACCTGCAGCAACATGGTACACGACTACCTACTCAATCGTCTTTGATATTTGCTATATTTATCGAGTTTAAAAAGAAGATATACTATACTCGGACGATTGTTTAGTTATTGCGTATAGTCCGAAATTGATGATTCAGTCCAAATCAATATTAGTTCCAGCTGTCACCGCGTCAAATTCTTTTTTGCTAAGTTGTACCAGTAACAACAGCTTTGTAAGATATCATTGCTAAAAGATCTATTATTACTCTAATTTAAAAAATTTTTTGTATCAGCTACATCTGAAGCAATGCCCATCTATTTTTGTGAGTTCCTTGTAACCACCCAACCATTAGAAATGTAGGTAAGCTCCTGCCATTTTTGGGTCGCAGATGACAGAACCCAAGCAAATTTTGGAAGTATTGATGAATAGGTACCTACTCTGGAATTCATATTGGGCCTATGTTCAGTTGTAGTTGATGATAATTATGATGAATCATAATTTTACTCTATTCAACATGAATTCAAGACCTTATTCACATTACCTTTAACAAACCCTCAATATGTTTTCAGTCCCAAGACACGTTTTGTCCGATTGGACCGTGGATAGTAACAGCTGATGAGATCACCGACCCAGACAACTTGAACATCAAATGTTATTTGAACGATGAACTGAAACAAGACAGTAATACTGAGAATCTGATTCATAAGATACCAGCCATCATTGAGAGACTTAGCACGTAATTTTTTTTTTTTTTATAAAACGTTGCCCCACATTAGAATTATCTCCTGTGTCGTGGGTGTGTTTACAACATACAAGTTCACATACACAATGACACCCAGACCCGAAACAACAATTTGTGGATCACACAAAGTGTTGTTCCGTGCGGGAATCGAACCCGCGACACGTTGCACGGCAGCCGGTTGCCCAGCCACCGCACCAATCGTGCAGTCAAAATTGCAAAATGCTATTGAGCTTAATTTGTACATACACAACCTTACGCCTATCTCTTATTGTGGCAGAGACTATGGAACGCCAATTGCTGCGAATCTTACATACCTCTTTCGCTTCCTCAACAGTCATCAGTCTTTTCATGCATACTTATTTTATACTTAAATAACAGTGTGATGTCATTAATCATGTCCCTGGAACGTGTTGGACTTCAGTGTCTCGGTGTTTTCATGATAGTTATCTACTGTTGATCCTGGCTTATAGGAGTTGCAGCTGTTTGGGAGGCTGTGGCGGGCTTGCCCCATAAAAATAATTACCAAAAAATTGTTTAAGAGTGAGATAAACTAATCCTACCTGATAGATGTGGAGATAATTGTAAACTCGACTCGTGTTAAGGAAGCTGTAAGTTCAGCTGGGGAGTGTCAAGGACTGCACTGCTGGTGCAGTGGCTGGACAACTGGCTGCCGCGTAACGTGTAGCGGATTCAATTCCCACACGTACAAACTCTTTTTGTAAGATATAAATTGTTATACCCGGTCTAAGTACAATTTATAAATGCACGTAATTTATAAATGCACCCACGACACAGGAGAAAATTCTAAAGGGCAGAGCAAAGTTATCTTAAAAAAATAAATAAAAGAGAATCTTTCTTTTTAGGATAATAACATTGCTCCCTGGTGACCTGATCCTCACTGGCACTCCCGGAGGAGTAGGACAATACCGTGACCCTCCAGAATTCCTCAAACCAGGCGATGTAATCACTAGTGAAATAGATAAAATTGGAACCTTAGTGGTAAATGTTGAGCAATTTTAAATAATGTTAAACGATTTTAGGCGTTTTGGTGATAATGTTGTACAATATATTTTGTAAAGGTTTTCAAATAGCATTTATTCATATATTTGTTTGTACTGTTAATAGATTTTTGCAATTATTTTTTTAATTATATTTCATTTCTTTATTTTCTTTTTGTATTTTTTTATTGCAATTTGTTTGTAAGGTGGTTGAAATTATGCAAAGGATATCCATATCCAGTCTCTAATTTCAATATAATGATATGAATTTCAAATCGTTTACCCACTTGACATGACTTAATATTAGGATCTGTGCCCACTACACAGCGTGTCCATGTATTCAGAGTTGGACCAAGAACGATTCCCTAGGGCACTCCTAGATGACCTCGTACTTAAACTCCTCCGAACCGATAACATTGTATTTTGTTTTAGGGTTGGTTACATTACTTTAATCTTGCTTAATACACTATAAAAATATGTTATCATATTTGCTGCAGTTTGACTGCAGTCGTCAAAAAGTGAAAATAAATGTTTCTATTCAGTTTTGATGAATCAATCGAATTTCGTACAGATTTACAATAACAGCATAGCGTTTGCATCAAAGAGTATAAGTATAGGGGTATTGCATTCTATGTTTGTCTTTTAACTCCAAATGTCTTATCAAAGAGTTTATTACGTTTAATGTCGGAGTACTGAAACGCTACTCAATTTTAAGTCGTGCTTAAGTATAGTTCTTCTCTACAAATTATTTGTAAAATGACAGAGATGGCACGATATTAATGATCACGACTTAAAATTGAGTAACGTTTCAGTATTCCGCCATAAGGGAATGACTTTCCAATACATTGACAAATGTTATGACAGATAATTTGTCATATTACGCCATTATGTATTTTCATCGGCCAATTATCCAAAATGTGATGAAAAATCAATATTTACTCCTATACTTACGAAATAAAATTACAAGAGTTTAACTTAAGACCTGCAACAACAGTTTCAACCTTACCAAATGAATTTAAATACATTGCGTGGTGGGAAGAGCTAACATTTTTCAAACACTGAATAGAAGGAGCAATGAAATTCGTTCAATTTATTCTAGGTGATTGTCCGAATGAGATTAGGGTTGGATATTTGCGTGGGCTTGGAGTGGTTGACCTGTCCTGCACGGATTGTGCCATGCCACGAACTATGCTCGAACTATTGCAGGCTGATATAGCTCACAAAATTAGCCAGTAAGTTATACAAGTTACTAAGAATTTCAACAGCAGCAGCAGTTCGTGCAGAAACTATGCTAGCTGAGCTGTGTTGGCTACTGGGCTTTTCTTTGTTATTATTCTTCCACTTTCTGTGTGTTTGTAATTAGTTTTAGTTTAGAAAATGCTGAAGTTTTTCAAAATGGTATCCTTTAATAACGTCTAGGTCTACGCCAACCGCATTGAGCAAGCGTGGTGAGAAATGCTCAAATCTTCTCCGTGTGAGAAAAGGCTTTGCTCAGCAGTGGGCATTTGTAGGCTGTTGGTAATGATGAGGTCTACGCCCCATTATACAAACTCATTCAACGTTTGTGTTTCATACCATAACAGGCGGTTAATCCCGAAGATCTGAATAATCATAATATGAATCTTATTCTTAATATTATAAATGCGAAAGTTTACCACTTTGTATGTTTGTTACTCAGTCACGCCAAAACAACTGAAGGGCTCCGGCTCGACGTGCAGGAGAAGGAACGGGGTGGTTTTTAGTCAGTAAGAGTCTGACACTCCCTTCCGCCTCACCCAGGCGGGAGCAGTCATTCGATGATTTTCCCCCTTAAAAAAAAAAAAGGGATCGGTATAAAATTTGGGAGAGAGGTAGATTATGGTCTGCAATAACACATAGGCTACTATTTACCCCACAGAATCTCAAACGAAGCAGTTGGTTGAAGCTAGTTCCTGATAACGTTAACAGCAATTTCAATTCCAACAAACACGTAAATTACCACTCACCAAATCTAACGAAAAGGAATTAAAATAAAACCTCCTCCTTTTTAGAGTACAAGTAAACAATCCAAGAGTTATACCCTTGAATAGAGTAATATTAATAGCGCCTATCACTGGAGTAGACAAGATATTAGGTGTCGCCTATAACTACTCAGACCAGTGCCAAGAGCTTGGAGTGGAAGAGTCCCGTATACCGTGTGTCTTCAGCAAATTTCCTAGCACAATCATAGGACCGAACCAGGCTGTGAGAATAAGGCCTGTTTGTGAGGTAACGATTCTTGTTACTATTATTAAAGACTAACTGCTTCCCTGCGGTATTCGGTATCGAGAGCCATTCCATTTGATCGTAACGTGATGTGTGTGCGTGTGCTGTGTGCTATTGAATATCTCAGAAACTAGCCACTTTCGGACCAGGGACCTCAGTTAACTGAAATCACAGGTTACTCACGTGAATGTACTGAGAAAAGCTCTACTAGTTTCGAACCACAGAGGGGTTCTTCCTCATGAGCAGCGTGCGAGGTCGCGGCGACGTCGCGCAGCTCACCTTAGGGCTAATTTTGTAGGAAATTAGTTATATTATCACCTCCCGAGAGGTATACGTCGAGTTACAAGTCGCCCTGTATAGTATATATCGTAGGCTATAGCCACGGTAATATTATACTTCGATAAATGGAAAACACATTCTTTTTATATCGGCCCAGTAGTTTTTGAGATAAATGCATTCAAACAAAGAAACAGACTTATCAGCATTACCTATATAATAAAGTATGAGGTACATGATAAGATTTTTAGATGTGTGTGACTGACTGGGGCTTGTTTTGAGTTTGTGTTGAATGTCTTTAAGTGTTAAGACAGAAAGTCCAAAAATGGCTAAGTGATAGAGGACGAATCTATTGCCAGCTTATCTCAGTACACTTAATTATAAATTAAATGAATATCTCCATTCGTAACTAAAGACATATGACTCGTAATATAAATAGTGAAAAGTGGGTGTTATATTTTACCTACATTGGAATTTAGTGCCTTAATGTGCACCTCTGCCTACTCCCTCGGGGATAAAAGGCATAACTAAAGAAAATAATTACTAATAAGATACAATATTTAATGTAATACCCAAGTTTAACGACCTATTTCATCTCCCAACATTTAAAAGATGAGGTCAAAAATTCGTAGTGAATCACGGAGGTCTGCACTGACCTCAGAGCGACGCAAATTGGGGTCAATTATCGAAGTAAATTGACTCGGTAATTCATAGTGCGTAGGTGTGGCTCGCGTGATGAAATAATATCACTCGTGTATAGTATGCCTTCCGTTTTGATGATGTTACAGGATTAATTTTCGTGCTTTTGGAGCTACTTACGAGAGCCATAAGACGATTTGAGTTATTTCTTATGCAGTAGGTAAACCCCCTTTGCCTGATGGGTCAGAACCTTAATAGTTGTGTTGTTAATTTGCTTATATATTTTTTTTAGTTACTTAAATGATTTAATGTTAACTGTTTATATAAATTATTTCACACAATTATGTTTCTGTTTGTTAGTATTAAGTTAACTCCGTTTTTGTTAAGGACAAGTTTGATCCGAGGTTTAGTTGGTTTAATATAAGTATAGTTAGTGTATAACTTATGAATATCGAGCGCTATTCCCGCCGTCAAACTGTCATAGCAGTTTGGTTTTATAATATTTATTGTATTATTTTGTATAAAACTAATAAAGGATTAGATTATTAATTATTATCATTAAGTTAATTCACTCTATAGGTATATTGTCATCCCAGGTGAGTTCGTTCATTCGAGTACCCAGTCTCTCTCTCATTGTTTTCTGGGATTGAGTGTGTGGTTTTAGTCGGTAAGAGTCCGACGTAACATGCTGTCTGACGCTCATGATGATGATGAAATCCTACTAATATTATAAAGGACTATCCCATGGGAGCATTTCATCTGCATAGAAATTTATCCTATCACCTAAGTCAGAGCATACCCTGTCTGTATACCAAATTTCATCAAAATCCGTTCAGTAGTTTCAGCGTGACAAAGAATGCACGTTTGTATGTTTGTTTGTTTGTTGCTCCTTCACAAACGGTTGGAGGGATAGGGATTAATTGGAACAGGGGTAATAACGCATTGACTACTTTTTATACCACGCGAACGCGGGCGACGCCTCTGGCAGAAGCTAGTCTACAGATAAATTATTATTGAAACTGTTGGTAAGTCTCATGCTCAATAGTTTTATTACACTTCCATATCTACTTAAACTTGACCAACAAAAAAATGAAGTAAAGTAATTTCTTTATTCTTTCAGCAAGTGGGTTGGCAATTAGATCTAGCGGTTGTGATGGGAAAGAAAGCGTGTTCCGTAAAAGCAGATAATGCTCACAAGTACATTTTTGGATACACTGTGGCTCAAGATATTACTGAAAAGGAGTGGCTGCTAAATCAGAATGGGACACAATATTTACTCGGAAAGGTGAGTTAATTACTTGCTGTCTTTATGATCAGGGCAACCAAATTTGAAATGTATGAGGTCAACAAAGGATATTTATCATTTTGTTTTGCTTTTATAGTGTTAATGACAAACTGATAGTCGATATGGCAAAGGCTACAGATTGACTTGATCGTTCGTTTGAAAGGGCGACGCTATTGTTTCATCCTAAAATCAAACCTTAATAATGATTGACAATCATTCTTACAATCTAGAGGTAATTAAACTAAGCTATGAATAAAGTTGTCCAGCTGTTGACCACCAGATTGATGATGATGATGATGATGATGAATAAGCTTTATGAATTAAGTTTATACTATTGTATATAAGCACAAAATAGTTTTTTAAACATATATTTTATGTCAAACAGTCACAAGACACATTTTGTCCTTTGGGGCCTTATATCATGACGTCAGATGAGGCTGGTCAAGTGGAAAACCTGGCCATGGTGTGCAGTGTGAATGGGGAGGTTAAACAGAGAGGCAACACTTCTCAAATGATACACAAGATACCAGCTCTTATAGAGAGGATAACTACGTGAGTATGTTTGTTTGTGTGTATATTTCGGTACTTAGATAAATGTAGATACTTCTCCCCAGAGCGGACGACCTAGCGGGTTACCAGGGCTCTGGTTTGAAGCAGAAGTAGGAACGGGGTGGTTTTTAGTCAGTAAGAGTCTGACACTCCCTCTCAGCTAGCCTAAGACACCAGAAGTCGTTGAATAATTCTCCCTCCCCCTTCAAAAATGGCACAGATATTTCTATTCACTCAATTAAATTGGCGTCTATCGAAGTCATTTGGTTCATAACCCTAATGCAATAAATTGTATGACGAGGGCACAGGCAAGTTCGTGGAGAACTAATATGAATACTGAAAAAAAACTATTTTAGCATATTTCTCAATAAGTCTGAGAAGGGGGACTAGACAAGTCTAAGGACTTTGTCTAACTATCATAGTTAGACAAAGTCCAAATATTTATTTTCACAGTGTCATGACGCTATATCCTGGCGACATCATCCTAACTGGTACGCCGGCCGGGCTTGGGGGTGTGCGCGATCCCCCAGAGTTCCTAAAACCGGGTGACGTAATACGAAGCGAGATAGAAAACATCGGTGTGTTGACGACAAAAGTTGCTGAGTTTTGATAATGTAATTAAAGTCTAATACAAATATGAGGTGTATTTTTTGCACAGAATTTATTAACCCTTAGAGCGCCACGTCAGTCACCGGTGCCTGACGCTAGTGGAGGTTTGACTTTCACCATTTTAAACTTGGCAGTTAAAGTATTAAGGACCATTTTTTGAGGGTAGAAATATCATTAAATGTCGTCTCTAGCCAAACCGTCTTGTTTTCGTTGAACGGTGATGGTAAACGCGACATGACATGAAATTGGGGTTTCCAAAAATTTTTATCTTATAAAACATTGTGAATGGAAGTCAAAGTCAAAGCATTTATTTCAATTAAACCATAGGTTGGTACTTTTGAAACGTCAGCAAATACAAAATAAATAATAGTCTGTCAGTCAGTCCGTCAGTGAAACTAGGTGAAGCTAGGTGCTCATTCCAAAATGTAGGTTCGAATGGAGAAGAACGAGCAAGAAACTCCATTCGTTACTCTTTTAAAAAAAGTATGTTCTACAATGTCTCTGATACATATTTCAATACTGTATGTAAGAACAATGCAAAGACACGCTTGACGCATTATACTAATAACAATAAAATAAAAAAATGTATAGTCTAACATGGTGCTCATGGTAACACGGTGCATGAATACTGACAATCCATAGAAATAGTGCTTCTTTACAAGAAAAAGGAAACTCTTTGTTTCAATAAAGAAAGCAGTGGAGTGGAGTCTGAAATCGTGCCCGGTAAACCTAAATATCTGTTCCATACACCCGTAGGGAACATTTTTTTCTATGACATGGGAATTATAACAGTTTATTACAGTTTATACCTGTACTCCATATGCACCCTGCACTGATCAAGAAGAGCAATGGTATATTTTAAAAACCATAAAAACGAAAGTTCAAAGATATTATCTAAATAGAAGGAATTCACTCCCGATTTCATTACATTTCATACCATGATGGAGTTTAATTTAAGCAATTAACGTTTGTCGTAAAACTAATTAAGTGTTCCGTGAACACAAGTGCCTTTGGTTATTCGACACAGGCGAGTGTCTGTCCTAAAATATTTTCAAACTAGCTTCGCACGTAATTTCGTCCGCGTTGAATATGAATTTTACAACATACCTTTTGTTTCAATTTTCCAAATAAAAGTTGCCATTTTACTTCTTTGTCTCGTCTTGATCAGTCCAGCCATTCCAGACATTAGCCAAACAGACAGACAAAATAAAATTGTAAAATACAAATAAAGAGCGATTATTTTAATATCATAAACAGACACTTCGATTTTATTTATCTGTTTGGATTTATAACGTAAGCCAAGTTGAAGGTTCAATATTATTTTATTGTAGTGCAACTTACTAGTTAATGATACTATTTATTGCCTAACATAGGATTAGACTACAAACAAGACTAAGAAAAAATATCAATGGAAGATGCTCTTAAGGACCTATTAATTTTATAATTTAATGTGTTATATCGATTTAACTACTACTAATGAGATTTGTAGCACCACGATTGATCATAGGCGGTGTAGATAATACTTAAGTACGTAATAGTAAACTTAAAAGTACCCTTAACCGACGAGGATGCGTAAAAAGACTGACGACTGTTGATGAATTGAAAGAAGTATGCAAGAATCGTAGCATTTATCGTTCCGTAGTCTCTGCCTGCCACGGGAGACAGGCATGAGGTTGCGTATGTAATAGAAACAATATGTTTCCAAGTTAAAATTAAAAACTACCAGTATATGTATCTCAAGTTTGACCTAAAACAAAACTTATGTAACCCGGAGATTTGCGACTACAACTACCAATTTTAAATTGGACAGGTTGACCTGCAAGCAGATCAGAACGCTGATTGGTGAATGGGCCCCGCAATTGAGCCAATCGCCGTCTTCCGTTCGCTCACAGGAAGGACCATTTGCGCTCGCGTCGTTCCTTTTCATAGACTATTAAATTTAATGTCAGCCAAGGGGAGTTTTATTGAGTTAAGTGGCCTATACGGGTTGTTATTCCAGTACAAGCTGAGCCGCGGTTATCTGACGATTATTACCGAATAATAGATCAAGCTTAAGTGGCATTATATGTTTTGACGCCCGCAGATTCTAAGCGCGTCTATTCGCGACGGATATTCATCGTTATGGATATTATTTCGAGCAATTTTATTGTTGAGCTCTATTTTATCGTTATTGGTTGCTAGTGCATGCAATTTGTTGATCGTTATGCAATTTGCTTTTATTTGTGCAGTGATACGTCTGTAAGTGAAAAATGGGTCCCTGTTGTACGGGTGCTTTGTTATATTCTGTTCCTTGTGCGTCATCCAGCTTCTGCTTGCAATTTTCAATTGTATTCTTGTCTATATCGAAAGATCGTCTCGTATTATGTTGTTAACGCTTCTTTGAATTGGTTCTAACGTTTGCAATTGACGATTATTCAATTATTCAATCTGGTTTCATTGGTGCAGTGATTGATACTTAGGTCTCTTGTAAGTGGAAGATGGATCTGTAACAGATTCTATGGTTCACACGCACTGAAGCGTTATTTCTAGTGTTGCAAATTGTACTTCGTCAAACAATTGGTGTCACGATGGAAATTTTAATAGAATAACTGCTTCAGTCACGTTGCTGAAGAATATTTATCCAATTTATTGGACAGTGGTGCAGTGATTGGTGTTAACTAATCCTTCCTCATTTTTCACGTGAATAATAGTTCTGCAAACTGCATACGCTTGGATTAATCATTGCAATGGCAGGTTTCCACGGTCATCACAAGGAATCATCTGCATAGTATTCTATTCTCAGCACCTTTTAGTTTGATGACTTGATGATCTACTTCCAACTAGCGAATCTTGTATTCAATTCTTCCCTCTCTATTATTATCATCTTCAGGAAGTCTCACGTTGAATGTAGCTTTTAATGGAGTGCAGTTTGCCTATATTATTCAATTTATTGGTATTCTTAGTATATCAAGCGAGGCCACCCTGCAAGTCAAAGATTGAGCGGTTCCTATCACGTGTATCTCACAGTTGACAAGTGCAATTTTCTTTTTAAAGGACATTGGGTATGCAATTTATCGACTGTTATTCAATTTGGATTTGTTATTGCTTCAATTTTGACACAATGATACATATTTTTATTCTATCAACAAGATGAAGCGTTTCCTATCACATGCACGTTACTGTTGACAGTGCAATTTCCTTGTTAGCAACTAGGGTACGGTTTTGCAAATTGGCGACAGTTATTCAATTTGGGTTGGCTAGAACTTTAATTGAAGTACGTGAATTGGAAAAGGGGAAGATAGGTGCTCTAGAGATGTGGTGCTGGAGGAAGATGCTTGGTGTATCGTAGACTGAGTTCCACAACAACGTATCAATACTCCAAGAACTCGGCATCACATAACGTCTATCAACCATAGTACAGACGCGCATACTGCAGTACTTTGGCCATGTCTCCCGGCATGATAACAACTCCATAGAGCAGCTGGTCGTTCAGGGGAAAGTAAAGGAAACCAGATCACGAGGCAGATCACTTATACGCCGGACTGATCAAGTCAAATCGGCAACGAGAAACCCAGTATCAGACTGCGCCAGATAATCCACAAACAGGGAGAGATGGCGGGGGAGATAGTGAGGAAAGCTGTATCGGCCTCCAACACAAATACGGCTGCCTCAACGTGACCACGACCGCTCTGCCAAGAGCGAAACGACAGAGAAGAAGATGAACTTTAATATAGATACAATGAAATACATTTTTATTCCATCATTCACATCCCAATGGCAAGTGAAATTTCCTGATTGAACACATGGAATCTGTACTTATGCACTTCTACTGTGATTTTTTAATTTGGATCGTATAGAGTTGTTTTACTAGTGCATGTTTTGTGAGATAAGCCAGCAAACAAGTAGACGGATCACCTGATGGTTAGCAATCGGCGATGCCCTTGGATACCCAAAACATCAGAGGCGTTACAAGTGCGTTGTTGGCCTTGTAGAGGTTAGGAATTTGGGGCTTGGGGATTCGGGAATTAGGGAGATTTGGGAGGGGGGGGGGTACTTGGACCTTCGATAACCTCCCTCACACGATGAAACACAACGTAAGCGTTGTTTCACGTGGGTTTTCAGTGAAACCGTGATATTTATTATGCAATTCATCGAAAGTTATTCCATTTGGATTTGTTAGTGCTTCAATTTTCACACTGTAAAATATTTTTATTCTATCAACAAGATGAAGCGTTTCCTATCACATGCACGTTACTGTTGACAAGTGCAATTTCCTTGTTAGCAACATAGGGTACGGATTTGCAAACTGACGACAGTTATTCAATTTGGGTTAGTTGAAGATTTTAAATGGATACGATGAAATATATTAAAGAACGATTATAGGCGATATTTTAAAGAAGAGCCAAATTAAAAGTACCCTTTAACTCGTCGAGTACCGGTTTTATAGACACAATTAAAGAACAATAGGTCGCGGTCACCGGTGACCGCTTGGTGTTTGACAGTTTAACCGACGAGCATGCATGAAAATATTGATGACTGTTGATGGAGCGAAAGAGCTGTGTAGGAATCGTAGTAATTGGCGTTCCATAGTCTCTGCTTACTCCCATGGGAGATAGGCGTGAAGTTATGTATGTATGTATGTACATATGTATGTATGTACGATGAAATAGATTTATTTTTATCCTATCTCACAGTTCGTACCAAAATGTCAAGTGCAGTTTCCTTATTGGGCTCTTGGAATATGCAAATGTTCAAAATTCTGTAGAGGTTTTTCAATTTAGGTGTTTTGATATTATCAAGTGAGGCCACTCTGTAAGTAAAAGTCGTGTATATAAAAGTTGACAACTGTAATATCCTTTATAAAGGATATTGAATTCATTGAGATTCATGCAATTGGGTTAGTTAGAGACTTGATACGGATACAAAGTAGCTAACTAAAGGATATATTTATCATATGAAACAACGCCTCTGTCAGTGGAAATGTGAAACGAATTTTAGTATGGAAACATAAAAACAATTTGA